GTGCAGCTCTTTTTAGGGTCTTTAGTATGGTAATGTACATCATAAATTTCTAAAAGGAGAAATATAACATGCAGTTTTCCTGAGTTGTTAATTGTCAACCCTTCTCTGGGAGGACTTGGGAACTCCATTCTAAGGTATGTGGTATAGGTAAGACATGGTAAGGCAAGTTCTCAAGACTTGCAGATTGGTGCCCCAACATGTTTCCTCCTCCTTCATCTGGGGGGAAGAGTCTTAGGAATATTCTGTTAGGACAACAGAAAAGTCTTATAATCTCAAGCTTCCACTGATATGGGGTGCTATGTCCTAGCAAGAGGTGGGATGATTCTGGCCAACAAAATGGGCAGCCAGGAATGTTCAAACAGATGTAGAGATGCCCAACCAAGAATGGGCATAGAGAAGTCAAGATTCAGAAGTATCTGAAGGTGTCCGTAAAGGAGATAAGCCCCTGTGGAGCTTGTGCTGGACATGAACAATGTCAAAATAAGCATAAGTATGGTCACAACGACAGAGAAGAGGCCAAGAGACAAGGTATCACTATATCTTAGCACATTGAAGGTCTGGGCAGGCAGGCAGATCATGAGATGGACAGATCAGAAAAAAAAAAAAAAGCACACAGCCAGGTCCACACAGCAAAGGAGATGTGTTGCCCCAATTCACAGACACCCTGAAAGAGCAAATCCCTGAGAAAGCAGGGATTTGAGGGAGAAAATAGTTGAAAGAGAGGATTGGAATATAGGCTTAAGGAACAGTGAAAAGAAAACAATTCCTATCAATTATTTACCTGCCTAACCTAAGAAGTTTAGGGACTCTAGATGAAGACATAGATGGAGGGACCCCTGAAGAACCTCTAAGAATCTTAGGAAAATGCTCAGAGCCCGGGTCTAAGAAGAAGGAGTCCAAGTAACTAGCCAGGAAGGATACAGAGGATAAGGGAAATGTTCCAGCCCCCCACCATCTCCCCTATCTGGTTCTGTGGTCTAAAAATTGAAAAATCAAAAAGACTAGAAAAAATTCCATGAATCTTTCCAGTAGTTTCTTTAGAGTTAAGTATTCAAGATGTCTATATTGGAAAAAAACTGCTCTTTAAAAATCATGGTATATTGCCAGGTGATAAAGTAGAAAAAGCAACAGACCATGAGTCAGAAAACAGTCTAGCTCTGTCTCCAACATAGTCACATAACCAGTGACTGTCAAATGAAGATTCTGATACACATCTTGACTCAGTCAGAGGTTCAAATGAGATATGAACACATGGTGAACATTGAAAAAGCTAAATGCAAGACATCATTATAACTTCCAATGACTGCTGCTTTTATCTTTGGAGAATCTGCAGTTAAATGTTTATTGGAGTTTGAGTTGATCTCTAAAAGAAGAATTTGTTGTCAGGCTTCATCTATAATGCTTATGGTTTCAGACTATGCCTTAATGCTTTTCTCAATATCTGAAAGCTCTTTACAAAAATAAGGAGAAAAGGGGAAATGAATTAAACTGAGTTGAGTTCCTCAGAAACCAGAGGAGAAGCTGTTTTCCAGGAACTGACTTAAAAGTTTTCTGCTTCCTGGGCTGCATCATCAATATACGGAACCTGTGGTAATTTGGACCTTGGTTTCATCAATTCACAAAATCAGTACATTGAAGGAAAGAGAGAGAGAGAGATGAGGCATTTAAATAAAGCACATCAACAATTTCCAATTAAATTCTAATTACTATAAAATGCACTTCTAACACTTATATAACCAAAAGTAAATCACTCAGTTATTAAGAAATCTACCCTGATATATCCTGTTATTAAGAGAGAATCTTTTAGCAATAACAATGTTTTAAAATACTATCTTCTAGATAACAATCTAGTACTTTACCTAGGCTAGAATTTCTTTAAGCAAAGGTTTTATATTTTGTGAGAACAACCTAACTTTATTATATGCTGAAAGATCAACTACAATATTTAAATCACTTCTCTTATGACCAATGAGGTCATGCTAGAGCCTGGGCTATCTCTGCATGAAGAAAGGAAAATACAAGGCAAATCTTAAAAGCTCATGTTTACCAGTTATAAATGCACACTGCAAACTCTACCCAGGGTGACCTCTTATCTGAAATGTTTTGGATCAGAAACATTTCCAATTTTGGAGTTTTTAGGATTTGGGAATATTTTCACAAAGATCACCAGTTGAGCATCCTGAATCTGGAAAGTTCTAAATTTCAGATTTAAATCTGAATCAGAATCAAATCTGACTGAATTTTTGATTCAGACAAATCTGAAATTTGGAGCTTTCCAGATTTGGGATGCTCAATCAGTGTTACTAATAGAGACTTTTAGGGCTTGAAGTTTGAAATTATGACCCTTTAGCAAATATCAAGAAGCATATGAAATATAAAAATGTTCATTCTGAAAGTAGCTGGTAATTTTTTTTCCCCCCTGGTACCAAGGATTGAACTCAGGGGTGCTTAACCATTTAGCCACATCTCAAGTCCTTTTTATTTTTATTTTGAGACAGGATCTCACTAATTTGCTTAGGGCCTCACTATATTGCGAGGCTCGCTTTGAACTATGATTGTACTGCCTCAGCCTCCCCAGCCACTGGGATTACAGGATTGTTCCACCATGCCTGGCAGACGTTGGTATATTTTAAGGCCAAATCTGAGTAAAGAGTACAAGAAACTTACAATTTATAGGATGATTTAATAGCACAGATTTGCCTTCTTAGGAATTTGTCCTTTTTTTTTTTTAAGTTGTTGATGGATCTTTATTTTATTCATTTGTTTAAATGTGGTGCTAAGAATTGAACCCAGTGCCTCACACATGCTAGGCAAGCACTCTACAACTGAGCCACAACTCCAGCCCATGAATTTTGACTAGGGGAAAACAAATTAGATGAAGAAAGAACAGTAACTTAACTACTATCCAAGTAAGAATATATGTTTTCTAGGAATTAAATTATTTTTAAAGAGAGAATCCTGATCAAGAATCAGAAATGGGTATTGAACATTTTTCCCAAAACATTTTATTTTGGAAAAATGTCAACCAAAAAATCTAAGTAGTACAATGAATACCATTTATACCTCTCACCTAAATTCATCATTACCCATGTCTCTCCACTATATTAGCCTTATCTCTCTATGTGTATGTTCCATAGTATTACTTAATTTGCAAATAAGTTAAGAAATTCACAAATATTTCAGCATGCCTCTCCTAAGAACAAAGATATACACAGACATAACATTGCACCAATGTCACTTTCTAGAAATCTAACACTGATATATAATATCTAATATAGACTTCATATTAAAATATCTCTCTAATTGTTCTAATAATGTCTATCAGGATTGCCACTGATTTTCATTTTTCTGATCTAGGATCTTATACTGGATTTAGTTTTACTTCTTTAGTTTCCCTTAATCTTGAAGAGACTACCTTCTTTTGGATTTCATGACATTGACATTTTTGGAAGAGGCCAGTCCAAAATTTGTATTTGTCTGATACTTTTCTTGTGATGAGATTCAATTAGATTCAGATGAGTTTATCACTTTGGTCAGGAAACTGCATAAGTGCTGGTGCATGTTTCTCAGTATATCACATCAGAAGTCAGATAATGTCAGTATGCTCCATTATTGGTGGTATTCAGTTTGATTACTTGGATGAAGTGGTATATGCTAGTTTTTTCCACTCTAAAAATGTATTTTTTTCTTTTTAATTATTAATAATTTGAGACTATTTGGATATTTGTTTCCCAACAGCTTTTTATCTAATACTTTTAGTATCCATGGATGGTCTCAACTTGAAATCAATTAGCCATATGGTGACGGAAAATACTAATGTTCTTATTCTATCATTCTGTTTACATTTACAAGCTGGCAATTCTGTGATATCACTGGACACTCATGGATTCTTCATTTTTATTTACGGTATTATAATCCATCAGTGTTACTGTTTTTTTTTGATATTCAAAATGTCCCCAAATCAGTGAGTATGACACCACCAGGCTGGTTCTTATCTTTCTGTGATGTCCCCATCAATTTTTGAGTACTCCCTTGCCTTTCTGCTCTGCTTCTAAAAACCATCCCATCACAGAATCTTGATTATTTTTGTTAGGGAATGGTATTTAGAGAAGAAAATCTGAATGCCAGGTATGTTCACTTCTGTGGGGTGTCCATTGCTTCTAATCCCTTTCAGAGGGCATAGCCAGCAAACACATTTCTAAAACAATTCCTGAGTTTCTCTACAGATGAACCAGAAAATGTTAAACAATGCGATATAAAAATAGGATGTTCTGTTCCCACCTAGGATGTATAGAAGCTATAAAAAACATTATTCCTACCTGAAAAATGAGAAAAAGAAAAACTATAAAAATCACAACTTTTCTAAGTCCATATGAAAGGTAAGATTGCAAGACAACCAAGTAACCTGAGTTCCAAATAATGACAGATTGCTCCAAAGTAAAGATGGGACAGGAGCAAGGTTTCAACTCCAACAAAGCATAGGAGAAAGAAGTGGCCACTATATAAACAAGTGAGATGAAATCAGTCACTGTCCTAAGGACTTTATTTTTATGAGCTCTCTTAATATTCAGAACAACCATATGAACAGATAAATTGCTTGTGATCCAAAGACAGTCAACAGAAGAACTGAAAATAGAGATGCAACTCATTAGGAAGACATATAGAGGAATTCAAAACAGAAGTCAAGAAAAAAGCTGATACATTAAAAAATAGCATCATATACTTAATACTACTGAAGTAGTATACACTTAAAATAGATAAGATAGTAAATTTTGTTTATGTGATGTTTACCATGATATTTTTTTTTTACTTGCATGTGTGCATGTAGTACCATGGATCAAACCCAGGCCCTTGGAAATGTTAAGAATACACTCTACCACTGAGATGTACACTCAGTCCCTACCACACACAATATCTTTAAAAAGTAGGATCATAAGCATATTAATTAGTGATTTAATGCATAATTTTTTTTTTTTTTTTTTTTTTTTTTTTTGTGGTGGTGGTGATGCTGGTGTTTGAACCCAGAGCCTTGTGCATGCTAGGCAAACACTCTACCAACTGAGCTATATCCCCAACCAGCACATAAGAGTTTTGTTCTGGAGATTAATACTTGGAATAGGGAGGGAAGAGGGACTATTCATTGCAGTCTAATTTGAACCACAACATTTAATTTTCTTTTACATGTACATGTCTACTACTTCCATAATTTTTTCAAAATCTGAAGGAAAGACTTTACCTTGATCTGTAAGACGTCAAGTGGAACTGTCTCTCCTTTTACAATGGCAAGTGTGGCATCTGTAATATGTCTAAATAGGAACAAAGAGGAAATTATGCTCTGAAAAATAAGCAACATCTCTCCCCCCACCACATATACATTCCCGCCTAGAATAGGAGTAGATGGGTAAGGAAGATGTCTTTCAAAATAATCCAAGAAAGCAGAACAAAGGAGTATAAAAGAATATTTATTTAAATATTTATTTATATATTTATAACTGATATAAATATGGTAGAAGCCTCTGATACAGACTCAAAAGAGAAGGCTTTGGCAAAGAGAAGTTTGTACAAGGCATCAATCACTTATTTAACATTTATTGAGTCTCTCCATTGTGCCTTATATTCAATCATAGGAAAACATGGTACTTAAATAAATAATAATAATAATAATATAACATCTTTAATTCATTGTAAGAAATTCAGGCACTTCAAAAAAAATAGTATATCTTTATACTCTAACAGACAAAAGGGTAAATAAAGGACAGGATTTGTTGTAGCTATCTTAACAAAATATAATCCAGAACCCAAGACATATTTCTCTTATTTTCCAGGATTACTAGGATATACTTCATTTTAATTGATGATTCTTTTGCTCAAAGACTCAAGACTATTCGTATTTACGACCTGACAGTCTTTTGAAAAGTACTCGTCAAAGTCACATGCTACTGACATCTATTCAGAGCACTATGTAGTTCTGGAGTTTCTTCTTTAATTGGAGCTAAGATTAGACACACATAAATATACAAGGAATAGTCAAAAAATAAATATTACACCAGCAAGTGGTTAGACAAGAAGATAATTGCTCTCAGAGTGAAAAAATGAGGGGACTTATGTCAAGTACTTCCTCTCACCTCCAGGTCCTATAATCCATCTCCAGTCTCTCATGGCTGGCCATTCTCATCCTTTAGGTCTTGGTTGAAATACCACCATCTCAGAGACCCACCCCATTCAGCCTGCAGTGAGGGCTTTCCCTATAATTCTCATTCACTAAACTGTTAATGTCCCTTCAGAGATCATGATTTATCATACTCTGTGAATCTCTTTACCATATGCCTCCTGAGAGCTGAAAGTTCTATAAGGTTAGTAATGATTTACGTGCTTTTACCGATCAATGTAAAACCTAAATCTAGCATAGTGCATGGCACATGTAGACACTCAATATTTTCTGAATGAATTGTTTTATTCTGTAAAAAGTACAGAAAGTAGTACCACCAATTCCTGTATGTTCCTCACCCAGCCTAGACGATTATCAACTAATTCAGACAATCTTACTTCCTTTCTATCCCTCACATATCCCCTCTCTTCTATCAATTAAAGCCAATCTTAGATATCTTGATACTTCATGCATAATTATTTCATGTGAATTTCCAAAAGATAAAGGTGCTTTTAAAAACCATGATATACATTATCATACCTAAAATATTTTAAAATTCCCTGTCAACATATTTAGTCAATGTTCAAATTTCTTCATTGAACATTTAATATGTGTGTGTGTGTGTGTGTGTGTGTCTGTATATATACAGACACACACACACATTTTATATGTATGCATTTCCTGGTATCATCTGTAAGTGATCAGTTTTCATTTTTATTTTCTTAGTAGAACTATGAAATCATTCATAGATTTAAATATATTTGATATGTTCAATATAGTATTGATACTAAAATTACTAAAATTGTCCCAGGTGAGTGAATCTTAATGGTGAGATTCAAATGAATACAATGAATGATGAGAAAGAGTAGCCACAGAGGTCCATGTTAATGTTGCCAAATTGAGGAGAAACTAAGAGTCCTTTCCTTGTGCTTATTTAAGCAAGGACAATTAAGTTTGAAAATACTATTCTAAGTCTGCTAATACTTAATTTTTTTAGATCTGTTTTAGGTTCATGGCAAAATTGAGAGGCAGGTACAGAGATTCCCCCCACTAGCCCTGCACTCACACATACACAGCCTCCTCAGTCATCACCATTCTGCTCTAGAGTGGTTGTTACATTTGTTACAGTTGGCAAACTACATCCACTCATTCAAATACCAGAGTTATATAAGGGTTCACTGTATGTTGCACATTTTATGGATTTTAACAAACATATAAAGACACACATCTATCACTATAGTATCATATAGAATAGTTTCACTGCCCTAAAAATCCTCTCTGCTCTGCCTATTCAACCCTTTCTTTGCCCCACTCTGGCAACCATTGATCTTTTTTGTCTCCATAGTTCCACAGTCAAATAGTTGAAACCATACACTGTGTAGCCTTTTCAGATTGGCAGTGTTAATTTACCAGTATGAATTTCAGCTTCCTCTGTGTCTTTCATGGCCTGACAGCTCATTTCTTTGCTTATTTCTTTTTAGAGCTGAATAATATTCCAATTGTCTGCATGTACCAGGTTATTAATTTACCATTTACCTACTGTTTATTTATCCATTTACTACTGTTTATTTCTTTTTGTATGAATTTTGGCAAATTGGTCCATGTCATCTAGGTTATCAAATTATGGTCATAGAGTTGTTCAGACAGAAGACAACTAAAATGCAACCTGAAGTTCATCATTCTCCAACAATATAACCGAAAGTTCTAAATCAAGTAGTACTAAAGCACAAATAGCACTTTTAGGATTATTTACCTGCAACATTTCAAATTCCAAAAAAAACCCATACTTTTTCCTTGTAGCAATTATAATACAAGAAATCTTGGCAGCAGAGCAAAAAGCAAAGCTGTGTTCTTTTTAAAGAGCTTTAGGCAACTGCCAGGTTAAGAGGTCTACGAAATTGTAATCTAGGACAGAATTACTTGATTACCTAAGAGCCCAGGGGCATGTTTATAAATTAAGCTTTATAAATCTTTAAATTATAAATGGAAGCAGCAATAACAATAGTTTAACAACAGAGGAAAATCAGCTTCCAAAAAATTGAGTGCTATCTCCGATTCTAAGGGTTGCCACACTCCAGATAAACTGGCTTTGGGAAAAGCAAAGGGTTCTCCAAATCAATTGCCTACTCTGATCACTGGCATATGGTATTTGCAGATGTTGGCTAAAGCAGTTCAAATAACTTCTACCAACACAAGGGAAGACAAGTTCTATAATGTAACCAAGACCTGAACCAGATAGGATTAATCTCAGAGAGGCAAAAAATGTTTGAGTAATTCATTTGTCATTACTATTGTCCCTTGAAAATTCTAAATTGGGCCAAAAAGTACCAATTAAAACAGCCTCTCTGTTTGCTCAGCCTCAGGATGGTTGGTGAATAGCTGAATGATCACCATTATACTCAAGTTTGAAGCATGTGTGATGTTTGAATATATGTCTTATATATGCCTATGTGCACACCTAGTGTTTGATACAGGCACCAAGACTTTTATAAAACATTCAGAACTATTAAGTTATAATAGGTGGCTCCTAAAATTACAACAGCAACAAAAAAAATCTACAAAAACTAGCCTAATCAAACAATTCTAAAGAAGGAAAGAAATCCTTACCCCAAATTGAAAATTGCCTGAGTATTATTAATTCTAGAAGGTAATAATTAGAAAAGTCATAAGGAAATTTTAATTAATTAATTCAACTAATATTTACTTACTGACTTCCTCTAATGTGTCACAAAGCTTACTTTAAAGATCATATAACTCTCTCTCAGTGCTCCACTTACTTAGATTTCCTGGACAACCATTTGCTCAAGATTATGTTATTAATCACTGTGAAATCCAGTCCTCAAATTCAAGATCCCTATCTTCTTGAAAGACTAGGGCTTTGTTTCCATAATGCTTTCACAAAAACAGGACTACAATTTGCCTGATTTCTGAACACATTGTTAGACTCATAGCGATTTAATACAGATGTCAGAGCCACACTGCTTTTCTCCTCTGCTTTATCTACTGCCTACCACTTTAGGGCGCCCCAAAAGGATGTGATTATATTTAATGGTTATTATCTATTTATATTATCAAGATAATAAAGTCAAGATTACCAGTTCAAACTTCACAACAGACTTGATAATTTCGCATGGAGCATACTTACAATAAACAAACGGTCAGTGCAAATCTGCCTTTCTAAAGGAATCTTACAGTGTAAAAGTGCAAGAACAGTTTGGTTCAGAAATACCATCTTTATAACTGATAAAGAACATGAAGTACTCATCTCCACATGTGACCTAGCAGAGTCCCACAACCCAACTGGGAAACTTCCCAGTGAACTGAAAAGTTGAACCTTGATTTAGGTCTTCCTCCCAATTATTGGAAGTTTTTTAAGCCATCAAACTCAAAAAACAAAAGGACATCAAACGTGATTTTTTTATCCCCAAGCTCGCTCACTCACAAATGCTAACATTCCACATTGACAACCTACTGGACTTTGCTTCCACTTTCGGCAAAGAGGGTATGACTCAAACTACTGGTCTGTCCCAGTGGGATAAATCCAATGGGAATCTTACTGAAGGTAGCCTGGGAGGAAAAAAAAGAAGAGAAAAGTTATATTGTTAAAGTTAGAAAATGAGTCTTAACAAAGAGACACAAGTATGTCTACCAGGACAAAGTTATTAAGCCCTCCATCTGCCTCCCCACTGTCCCTCCCATAACCCTAGAGCAGTAATCGAATACCACTAAGAGAATAGTTTCTAGAATAATTTAGAATTTAGAGAAACATTTGGGTTCTCATTAATGACCACTGTTTGGAAGAAACATAATTAAGATAATGAGGGTCTTGTAGATATTGGATCAATGTACTAGTGTGACAGAGACTGCATTGTTATCACACCACTTGAAAAAGCTGCAGATAAAATTCAAGAAAAATACCTATCAT